ACCTGGAAAAGAGGCAATACTTGAAGAAAAAATTAGAGTATTTAATCAGATAGCAGAATAAATTCTGGGTGGCAAAAAAAAAAAAAAAAAAACAGTCGGTACATTAACACCACATCTGAATTAAAAAATTAGAGTATTTAATCAGATAGCAGAATAAATTCTGGGTGGCAAAAAAAAAAAAAAAAAGCAATCTGATCATTTACATCCAAGTTCTGGATCATACTTGGAAACCTGTCTTCAGCACAAGGGCGTTAGACTAGGAAGACCCAAGTCCTATCCCTATCTTAGTAGTGCTGTAACCTCCTCCAGGCCACCAGCTGTCAGCCCTGCTTCCTTGGGATGGGCTGTGAGGGCCTTGTTCCTCTGCGCCCTGGGGATAAGCCGCCGGACAGAAGCCTCTGAGGGAAACACACGTAGCTTCAGTCATTGTCCAGACTCAAGATGTTCACCCTGAGGTAGATGGGTCTGGAGAATGTAAGAACGAATGAATGAATAACATCGCATTTACCATTCATTACTTCATGTGCCAAACATACTAATGCCTGCTCTGCTGGGCACTAGGGGTATAACGGTAAACAAGATTGAGACAGTCCCCCGCTTGCTCAGGAGTTAGAAATAGCCTGCCTGCCCTTCACTGGCCACCTCTGGGTGGTTTTGCCCATGATGTGGGTGGACATCTTGCCTCTATGATTATCTCTCAAGGGTTTCAGGAGAAACCAACATGGCTGCCATCATGCTTGGGGCTGTAGTTGCAGAGTCTTCTTAGGAATGTGTCCTCTTCTCTGGTTCAGAGTGTTGGTTTGTGGATGATGTTTGCGGCTTTGTTGGGGGGTGGGGCACCGGCAGCCAGCAAGGCGGGCAACCAACTTCCTCTGTACATTCTCGTGGAAGCGGGGCTTTGAGGGATGGGCTGAAGGCGGAGGCAGGTGGAGCCAGTATCACCCACTACAGAGCCCTGTACGGGAGGGAATCCAGCTTGTTTTTACTTTGCTCCTGGACCTTGCCTTGGTCTGATAGGTGATATCTGGCCACAAGTCCAACAGGAAGACAACAGTGTGACTCAGAGGACACAGCCCACCACCCCACCCTCCTCCTCCTGTCCCAAAGTCTACCATGTTGGTGGGGATGAGCTCCTTTGATTCCTGCTCTTCTAAGACCTGGTTGGTGCTTACTGTGCATATTGGTTAAATGTTTACTTCTTAAAATTATGTTCAACTGCCAAACTAAGAATCGTCTTGGATTCTTACATTCCTAGGAGGCAGGTGCTGCACCGCATCCTTTCCTTCCTCTCTTCTTTCCTTTTTTCTTCCTTCTACTCACCATCCATTCGGCCATCCAGGTAACAAATATTTATTGAATTCTCACTGCGTGGTAGACTTTATGCTACTGTGCAAGGGGCTCAGAATGCAAAGGTGGGCAAAACAGATGCAAATTCTGCCCTTCCAGAACTTAAGTTTGCAGTCATGGAGACAAAAGTTAACCCAAACACTACACAGACAATGTGAGATTTCAGTCTGCGTCGATGGCAGTGAAGGGAGGGGGAGTCGGTGCTGTGGCAACAGGATTGTGGGGTTCTGATCTGGTTTGGGAATCCGGCAACACTTCCCTCTGCTGACACTTGAAGAAAATGTGGGTGTTAACAGGATGGAAGGGAAGTCGGGGTAAAGAACGTTTCAGCTAAGACTGAACATTGGGGGCCTAGAGAATCAGGGAAGAGACAGAGTCAGAGCGGAGGCAAAGAAAGGTAAACTGGGAGCAGAGGCTGCAGGGCCTCTGGGATCCCATTAGAGTTCGTTAAGCTGAACTAGCATCCGTCTTACTAGGGACCCTGGGAGACGCTTACACCCAGCCCTGCCTGCTCAGGGGTCAGCTGACAAGCGTTTTGCACATGCAGTGGTGACTTGCCTTGCAGAGGACGAGCTGAGGGTGATGGGGCTGGCGTTGGGGGTGACCCAGAACTGATCTGATTTTCGACCTCGTTTCACCACTCTGATGGCACAAACAGAAAGAGCTGATCTTAGCTGGGCACCATGGTGCGCACGTGCCACGGAGGCAGGAGGATTGCAAGTTTGAGGCCAGCCTGGGCAACTTGGCAAGACTCTGTCTCCAAATACAAATGTAAAGGGGCTGGAGATCTAGCTCGGTGATGGAGTACTTCCTGCAAGTGTCCAAGCACCACCTCTCTCACACACACAGGCTGCCCTGTGTGTATTAACAAAAGTGATTCTTCCTCAGTCACTGTAGTTCTAACACATTCTTAAAATCAATTCACCTTTTTATGAAATTAAATTTACTTGGGAAGGAATATGTATATCATTATAATAAATTGGAAATTATTAAATTTATTAAAATAAATGTATATACCAACTGAACTAAAATAAGTTTTATCTAAGTATCACCAAAATCATCCTGCATTCTGTCTGTCTGTCTTCCTTCCTTCCTTCTCTCTTTTTTCTTTTCTTTTTTTGTTTTTTGAGTCAGGATCTTACTATGTAGTTTAGACTGGCCTTGAACTCACTATGCAGCCTAGGCTGGCCTCAAAGTCATGGCGATCCTCCTGCCTCAGCCTCCCAAATGCTGAGATTACAGGCACATGCCACTGTGCCTGGCTTCGGTTGGATTCTTTTTGTTTTGTTTGGTTTGGTTTGGTATTTTTGGTTTTTTTGAGTCAGGGTCTCACTATGTAGTTGAGACTGACCTGGAACTGACTATGTAGTCCAGGCTGGTCTCGAACTCACAGCAATCCTCCTGCCTCAGCCTCCTGAGTGCTGGGATTACAGGCATGGGCCACCACGCCTGGCTCCTGGATTTTGAGAAATGTGTGGTATCTCAAGAAAACAAATGCAGTATAATAAAGTCATGCTTCTCATCCACTTAGACCAGACTCGCTTAGTGCTGCTTATGTTAGAATTGCCAGGAAAACTTATTAAAAATGGAGACTCAGCCTGGTGTGGTGGTGCAAGCCTGTAACCCAGAGGTCCATGCGGCTGCCTCACAATAAAAAATAACGAAAAAGCCTGGGACTCCCCTGGGTTCAATCCTGAGGGTGGAGCGGAGACAGGCAGGCGTCTGCGCCTCTGTGAAGTACTACTGTAAAGATGAGAAGAGCAAACTGCACAAGCACCGAGCAAAGGCAAAAGCAGGCTGTGGTCAAGGTCATGGGTTTTGCAGCCTGATCAGCACTCAGGGCGTGGTTCCAAGAGAGAAGGGATGGACAGAGCCAGGGCAGGCTGATGGGGGTCACCTCCAGCTCAGGAGCCCGACCAGCCACAGGGCATCTCAGCCTGGCACTGCACCCAGGAGCCCTGGCTCCTTTGCTCTCCCCAACCGTAACAGCTGAAAATGCCCCCCCACCCTGATAAGTATGCCCCAAGGCTTCACTCCCACTTAAGGACCAGAGATGTAGGGAATGGTTGCAATTCTTTGTTTGGTTGTTTGTCCCTTTGACTTCTGCATTTGGCATGATGAGGTTAAACTGTAGTCAGTAGAAAACCCAGCTCACTGTGTAACCAAATGATCTCTTTTCATTTTAATTTAAAGGAAGTCCAGAGACAGATGTGGTGATGCATACCTATAATACCAGCTACTGCCAGGTGTGGTGGTGCACGCCTGTAATCCAGCATGTGGGAGGCTGAGGCAGGAGGATCGCTGTGAGTTTGAGGCCAGCCTGGGCTACATAGTGAGTTCCAGGCCAGTCTGAACTGCATAGTGAGACCCTGTCTCAAAAACAAACAACAACAACAAAAACCTCAATATGATACCAGCTACTCAGGAGGCTGAGGCAGGAGGATCGCTGTGAGTTTGAGGCCAGCCTGGGCTACATAGTGAGTTCCAGGCCAGTCTGAACTGCATAGTGAGACCCTGTCTCAAAAACAAACAACAACAACAAAAACCTCAATATGATACCAGCTACTCAGGAGGCTGAGGGAGGAGGATCAAAGTCAAGGTCAACATGGCCAAAAAGAAGTCCCAAGGAAGGCTACCTAGAGCTTGTATAGTTATTGCACTTCTGTGGTATTTCAAGGACTCAGGAACCATCTGCTTTGTTTTTATTTTTTATTTGTTTGATTTCTTTTGAGGCAGGGTCTCACTATATAGTTCAGGCTGGCCCAGACTGGCCTCAAACTCACAGCAATCCTCCTGCCTCAGCCTCCCAAGTATAGGTGTATGCCACCATGCCCTGGTACTTGGTTTTTTTCATGGTCCTAAGATGATTGCCTCACCTTCAGCATTTCGTCTGCCTTGCAGCAGAAAGAGGGAGAAAGGCAAGTGCCTATGGAGAGAGCCCCACCTTTTAAAGAGCTTCCCATAAGCCCTGCCTAGGAATTTCTGCTCAAATGTCACATTTGACTGCCCCTAGTTGCAAGGCAGACTGGGAAATCTTCTTATCAGAGCACCTTGCCATCAAGATGAGGGTTACGTAGCCAGGGAGAAAAAGAAAGAATGGCTTTAGGAGGGAAATGATAGTCTTGGCAGTCTGTCCTCAGGATCTTCAAGATGAAGCCAGACAAACCTGGGTAGCCGCGGCCAGGGGAGCGTGTTGAACATGGAGACTCAGCGAGGTGTGGTGGGGTGCACCTGGCTAGACATGTTCTTGTTGCATTTCTCTGAGAGGGCGTTCCTTACCTTCGTCCACCAATGGATTGTTCAAACCAGAATCAGATTTTCACTTTACCTTCCTGGAGGGAGATGAACTCAGTCACATATTAAGTGGTTAAATGGCAAGGTCTTCAGGAGAGGTGCGTCTGCGTTCCACTCCCCTGGCACTCACCGAAGGTGGGCGAGGTGGGCGGCCATCCCATGGTGAGAATTCCATTAAATCTCTCCTCTGCTCACTTGCCGCCAAGCCTGAAGTGCCACCTTTGGGTCGAGCATCCTGTCCATCGGCCTAGGTGCCTCTTACAATGCCAGCCCCTCCGACAGAGATGGAAAAGTGGGAAACCTGTGCCACGCTCAGGTCGCCTCAGCTTCTCGGCCTCTTTTCTGTCTTCTCTTTGCAGCTCCTGAGCATCTCTGGGACACCGACACCAGGTGGGGCAAGGCAACAGGGCACAGGACTGAGGGAGCCTGTCTGTCCCCAGAAGAACTGGGCCACCCAGCTGTTTCACCTCCTTCACCACAAAGCCACAATTGCAGCTACGGCTGCAGGTATTAATAAACCTTGCTGGTAAGTTTTGGTCCGGCAGACGGCAACCCTGTGACCTTTGAGTTGACTTTGTCTCCCTTTCTCTCCCCACCCACACTTCTCAGCCCGAGGACCGAAAGTCTGGCTTTCTCGTAATCTGCTTCGACACTCAGGGAATAACACTGCTAGTAAAAGGTAAACACCAAGGAGGGCAGCAGCTGGGCAGGCAAGCATCCCCCAGAGCCCCAGGTGAGTAACGACTGCGCTATTTCGTGCCCATTTCTGGCCGAACAGGGCTGTCCCATTGCCTGGGTTTTCCCAGGAGTCATTGGTGATCTAGATTAGGGTTTCAGGCTGTAGAGCCCTGCAGTGCCACCCTCAGACTCTTGCAAAAGAAGCCTCTTGTCTGGTCTCCCACATTCCAGGGCCCAGCCCTGGCCTTCCTGCTGCTACACCCCTTTGCATGAGGCAAGGAGTCCTTAGGATGGCAGTCACACCCACCCAGAGTCCTCTGTGCCCTTTAGACCGTGCTCCATACAGCCAGGATGCCAGAGTCCTGAGTAAACAGTCCTGACCTGGTTTCCAGGACCTGTGGCCCTCTTCCCCAGAAACATCTCCCCAAGAGTGGACCTGACTGCTGATCTGCATGAGGCATGGTGAAAACATACAGTGACCTTTAAACATTTGTAATATTCCAGTAACAGACACATTATCCCCAATCCTCCTCGAACACTTCCTCACATCGAACACACTTAGCTCATCATTCTTGCTACTTTTTGAAGCAGTTCTGGAAGCCACTTTCATGAGGGTCTTTAGCTGCATTGTCACAGCTGCCTCAATGTCCCGAATCCATTCAAAACGTTTACCTTTTGTGGTCATTTTGACTATGGGGAAGAGCTGGAAGTCACATAGGGCTAGGGCCAGATTGGTGAATAAGGTGAGTAAGCACACACCATATATACATGGGGGGGGAAGACACCAGGGATCGAACTCAGGGCCTTGCACTCGCTAGACAGGCACAGCGCCTCTGAGCTACATCCCCAGCCCAACATAATTTTTTTATGAGCCTTCATTTCCATTAAGTAACACTTGGCAGCTTCACTGACCTTTTTTTTAAACCCGATTTATAACCTTTGAGTTCTTAGGCACATCCTAGGCGGCTCTATTTCTACTCTTGCCTCAGGCCCTGCAAATGCTAGGGACTGACCTGACCCACTGACATTTTGTTGGACTGTGGAGTATGTTCAAAATCGGGGGACTTCCTGGTAGGGATGTAGCTCAGTGGGAGACTGCTTGCCTCGTGTGTATGAGGACCTGCGTTCAATCCCCAGCATCACAAAGAAGAGGGTGGTTCGTGCAAAAATTCAGATTCTAGCTTTTCTTGACAGATTGGGAGATTCGATAATCACAGTGCCTGAATTCCTACGCGGCACCATGGAAGAATCCCAGGGGGTGGCTGTGCTCTTGGGCCGCAGTTTGCCATCCTCTCCGCCACTCCCAGGTGTCCAGGGAATCGCCTGGACAGCGCCTGCCTGGCCTAGAGGGATCTGAGTGAGTGGGAGTCCAGTGAGCCTGAAGTCTGGGGAGAATTCCCGTCATAGGTCGGACAGGACGCTGAGACGGCCCGACAGCCAAGCTCCAAGCTCTGGGCGTTCAAATTCCTGCTCATGACTCCCTCTCCGATTTCCTTACGTGGAGGTGAGGTCAGCACTGGCCTTTGCCCCAACTTCTGCCTGCCACCTCTGTCAGGCTGATCAGAAGAAGAAGTGGAACTGCCTGGGGTCATTAGGAAGTGGAGAATGAAAGAGGAAGAGCGGTCTCCTCGAGAGACGGCCGCGCACGGGAGCTCTGCATTTGTCCCTGTGGCCCTGAGTGTCATGCAGAAGATGCCCGGCAGAGGTCATGTGCCTTCTGTGGGGGTTTCTGGGGGGAATCACAGTGCTACAGCAGAGGTGGGGAGAAAAATCTCTGACTGGAAGGCAGCTGCCCACGAAAAACCAGGCTCTGGAAGGGTGAAGCCGCACAGAAAGTGGGACCTGAAGTCCTGTGTCTCAGCACTGTGACCGAAACATGAATTCCACTCAGTGGATGCAGCATTAGGAGCGACTGGTTTCTCTGCTCTGTCTGTTAGCAGAGGAGTGAGAAAGAACTGGGCAGAGTGGACCACCAAAAAAGCCAGGCCCTGAAGGAAACTGATGAGAGATCCTTTTCATGCCTCGCCCCAGTCCACATCGATTCTCTATCCTGGAAGAGGAGCCCTCTTCACCGTTTTGTTGGGAGACCAAAGATGCAAAGCTCAGTGAGCACAGGAAGAAAAGGCAGTGCTCAGGGACTGTCTCCCTGTTTTTCTGGGCTGTCTCCCTGGGCTCCGAATTAGGGGGCTCGGCCTAGTGCCCCCGCCTGGATACCCATGGGCAACGGCTGCATTGGTGGGCACTCTATTCCAGAGGCCTTTGGGTTGGGCTCCTCCATGCGCAGCCCACACAGACAGCAGGAGCTCGCACACTGGGAGCAGGTTTTTCAGGGCTCTGGAGCTGAATAGTCACGATAACCCACCACTGGTGTCATCCCGGAGGACAGGAAAGACTGGGTGGGAGAGGTCAGAGCTGAGACCAGGCCTCAGAGCGGCCAGAGCTGCTGGCCCGCAGGTTAGGCACCAAGGGAAGAGACTGAGGTGGCTACTGAAGAAGCTGGACCAAAAGCCTGGCACAGAGATCCCTGCTGCTTTGGTCCCCAGCTGGCTCTGCAGAGGTCATTTAGGTGGCCAGGCCCCACTGCAACCCACTGGCAGGGGAGCCCTGTGCTGAGCTTCCTGCCATCTTGATGTGAGGCACTGGCTTTGTGTTCCTGAGACTCCTGGCTCAGCTGGCCGGGTGCCCTGTGAGTGGGGGATAATAGGACCTGCTGGCTTCTGTGTCCAGATGGCGTTTGCTCTGGGCCTTCTCCCTGATGAAGAACAACCCACTCACAATCTAGAGGGCACTCGACCACGAGGGATGGAAGGTGAGGGCTCACAGTAAGCAGATCTGAGCAGGAAAATCAAGAAGATGCCCAAAGGGAGGGTTAAAGGTACTTCAGGGGCCAAAAAAAAAAAAAGCTCAGCTTCCCAAATACATGAACGAAATAAGAAAAAGAAGGGAAAATATTAGCAGAGTCAGTTGAGCTCATTAGTGGGTAACTGAGGCCAAGGACAAATAGAAGTTCCCACCCCACAGAATGTAGAGTGTCCTGGATTCGGGTAATAAAGGGACACTGGTTTCTTTTATAGTATTTATTTAGAAAAATAAGCCAGCCTTCGTCTTCTCCCTCTGTGCTGGGTCACTCGGCACGGTGTGTGACTCCTGTTTGCAGCTCCACCGACATGGGTGTCCAGCACGCCCTGGTTGGCTCCACGATACCGGAGCCTCAGGCCCATTGCCTGGTACTGTCCTTGAACTCAATCCTCGTCGAGGTCTCTGCTGCCAGGTCTCTAGATGAAGACGGGGCAGTCCGGCCACAGTCTGTGCGCGCTCCCAAGGCTGCAGGAGCGGCAGGGGTGGGGGCTGTGTGCTCTCCTTGCCCAGAAGCTCAGGGCTGGAAGCGTGGGGAACCGACATGGGGCTGGTGGAAGGCATGGGCGCTGTACACCACCTCGGGGGGCGACGGGGTGCTGGAGGCCAGCACAGAGCACAGGGGCTCATGGCTGCTCAGCACCGACGTAAAGTACTTCAGCTCCTCCGTGAGCTGCTTGATCTCCTTGCGCAGGGCTGCGTTCTGTTTCTCCAGGTCTTCGCTCTCCTGTAAGAGGCACGACAGGTATCAGTCATCAGGGTCAGGGAAGGTGGCAAGGCGGGCTGGGCAGGGAGAGGTGCACAGGAAGCCAGGTTTGTTTTGCACAGCTGTGGAGAAGGGCATCAGAGAATTTGAGTGCATGAGTGTGTGTGTACTTGTATGCAGGCGTGGGTGCGTCCACATACATACATATATGTGTGTACCTGTGTGTGCCCAGCGAGTAAGCTGAACCATATGAAATTGCTGATTGCTGTCCATTTTGACCTGTAACAGTAGCAATTTCACATAATTCAATCTGCCCTAGCCCATTTTTCCATTGCTATTTCAAAGTACCAGAGGCTGGTTAATATATAGAAAACAGGATAATTTAATTTGCAGGGCTGGAGGTTCACGGACAAGGCACCAGCATCTGTGTGGCTTCTGGTGAAGGCCACGTGCTTCTCTACACTTGGTGGAAGAGAAAAAAGGCAAGAAAGTGAGTGGGGAAGAGGGCTATCAGAGAGAGGGGAAGAGCTAGGCTCTCTTTATAACAACCACCCTTGTGCCAGCACAGCCCAGTGAGAAAGGCATTAGCCCCCCCGAGGACCTGATCGCCTCAAGAAGGCACCACTGTCTCTCGACACGTTGCGTACCCTGGGGACAAGACCTCACAAGAGCTCTGGTGGGGACAAACCCTCTGGGAACCTCTGGAGTGCACGTGTGTACGCGCTTGCTTGTGCACTGTGTACAAGTGAATCTGAGGGTTGGAGTGGCAAGTGTGCACCAAAGAAAACTGGCTGGCAGTGAGGACATGTTATACCACCCTCCACTCTGGAACACCGTGAGTCTCCAAATGCTTCTGAGGTTTGCCTTTAGTCTTACAGGTGGAGTTCGGGGTTAATCGTCGGCTTCATTTCTAGATCACTTAGGGTCTTTATAGATATTAAAGGGTCAAAAAGAGCCATGGTGTTCCTCTCCCTCTGCCCACTCAAGGGTGTGTTTTACACGTAGACCCTACACCGTCACCCTTGGGGTTGTGTTTCAAGATGTCCTGAAGCCTAGTACATAGGATGTTTAGTACCGAACAGCACTATATATAGTACCCAAGATATACCAAGATGTACCATGTTTTCCCTGTATCCATGACAAAATTTAAATTACAAATGGGACATAGGAAGAGATTAATGATAATTAATAATAAAAGAGAACAATTAAAATGATATGCTGTCCTGAAATTTTTTAAAATGTATGCATTATTTCTGAAATTTTTCATTTAATATTTTCAGACCACTGTTGACTATAGGTAACTAAAACTGCAGGATGGGAAAGCTTGTGAAGAAGACTCCTGTATTCTTGGTATATGCAAAGCCTGTGTAGAAACACAGAGCACCTCGTTGGGAATTTAGCTCAGTGGCTCTGTGCCTGCCTTGCAAGCAAGCACAAGTCCTAAATTTGATCCCCAGTGCTGGAAAAAAAAAAGAAAAAGAAAAAAAAAGAAAAGAAAAGAAAAAAGAAAGAAAGAAACACAAAGCCCCATTTTTTTCCAGAAAAATCTTTCTCCTGCTGCTGAGGAGAAACTTCAAATTTGTGTTTGTCAGACACAGAGTAAAGAGAGCCAATTCCTGGTCTTATCATTTATTAATCAACAGCTGCTCTGGCAATTAGCAGTTGCTGGAAAACAATCCCACCTTCAGAAAGCAGGGTGAATTGCATTTTCTGGGTGATCTGAAGGGTCGCATTCTCATGGGGGGCTCTGCTAAATGCTGGCGCCCACCAGGGCAGGGGAAATGCGATGTGAGATTAAATAGCAGTTCCACTCAAGAGCCAATCTGGTATTGGAGACACCAGGTCTTACTTTTTGAGTTCTAGATGGTTTAGGTCAGCATTTCCAAAACTCACCATGTCATCAGAATTCTAGGGCTAGTTAAAAAAAATACAGTCACAACCCTTCCTGAAGTCTAGAGGCTGGAATTCAATAGATTATTGATTTGGGCAAGGGAGCGCAGGGTCTGGGAATCTGAGTTTTTAGCAAGTGTTTCTGGTCATTTTAATGGCCAAGCAAGTTTGGAAGACCTTGGCTAAATATGACATTAAATTTATTTTTTTTCATTAAGTTTATTGGTACCTTTTAGGTATACCATACAGTAACATTCGTCATCAAGAACTTGTATCTTTACCTGATGTATCTTGGTTCTTATTGACATTGAATTTACTGTAATTACTCAGGCACTTAAGTGCCTATTTAAATCTCTGGCACATCATATGGACACAAATGTCTGTTGGCATCAACTGATGCCATAAAGAAGTTGACTCAAAACTGTAGTGGGCAGTGAGCAGATGTAAAATTAGCTGACATTTGAATTTGCTTTAAACAATCCCTGGGATCATGAGCAGCAGGCTGATGAGAGAACTAGGTGGGACTTGTCAGCTACCCTGCCAGTCATCGGAGCCCAGGAACCCCAGGGGTTTCTGTTTTCAGTGGTGGAGGAGCACGGGGCTGTGGCCCTGACCGTGCAGCTGGCTTCCATCTCTTTTGCAGGACGGATCTAAGCACCCTCAGCCTCAGCCAGCAGTCTCCTGTGCATGGCTGTGCGTAGCAGTCGTGTCCAGATCCCTGCCAAGGAACCCATCTCTAGACAGTGCAGGGAATGCTGGGATGCAGGCCGAGGGAGCTGGAGCTGGTCCGAGTTTCTGCGTGGCCGTCCAGCCTGCTCAGTTGGCTGCTTTCTGGCACGTCCCAGAGTGAGGGCAACCCCAGCCCCTTTACCAAAAGGTAAGACAAGCAAGGAGATGAGACTTGGGGGTGTTGGTAAGACAAGAACTGGGGCCCAGGAGTCTTGGCCCCTTCCTTGAGCCCACTTCCTCGCCCCCTCTGAGAGTTTCCACTGGTGAGAACATTTACTGTAATTTTCAGCGCTCTGAAGAGCCTGGGCAAACCCCAGGCAGGAGGGAGGGGCGGTAGGCAGGTTCTGACCTTCTCCCCACCTAGAGGCAGGCCCAGCTTTCGGGAAGTGATAGCGGGGCCTTCTCCCCAGGCTGCTCTGCCAAGCGCTCTCTGGCTTCTCCCCTGCCTCTGCCTCCCCGTGGATCCCAGAGCCCTAGAAGGTGTGCATAACCGCGGTTGGCTGCCTCTAACCAGAAAACAACCACCAGTGACAAGAAACCGGTCTTAAGCTTGGGAAGCCAGACTGCTTCCTGCTAGGGCCCCCAAGAGAGAAACCTGCTCTGCCTGCCCAGGGGCCACACAGCCGGCCAGGGCTCACTAGAGAAAGGGTTTGACTTCCTTTGTGGGAGGAAGTGGCTGAGCTGGGGCCTCATCCCTCCAAGTCCCTGTCTGCTCAGGCTCAGAGAATTGGTACCCTCCTCTGGGTGATGGTGAACTGGAAAGGGCTCTCACAGCTAAAGGGACATCTGGCCGAGGTGGTCATGCAAGCAGCTTTTAGCCAGAGGAACAACTATCGCGTCCCCTAACTTCCCCTAGTATTCACTGAGGGCGAGGAGGTGAGAAAGTTTGGAAGGAAATTTGGTTTCTGCCATAGTGGGGGAGGGAGGGGTGAGCCTGCCTTAGGCATCCACAGAACTTGCTCTCTGCCTACAAACTCCTCCTCACAGTAGATCTCTGAAATGGACACTGACCCAGCTGCCGTCACTGTCCCCACTCTACAAATGAGGCCAACTGAGAGGATGGGGTAACGTCTACCTCATACCCACCAAATGAGCACAGCAGGGACAGCAGCTGTTAGGAGAAAGTGATACAGGATTTGCCTCAAGTCACATATTTTCTCAGAAACTCAGAAACAGAGTGGTGGACCCAGAGGCCCGGAGCCTGGCAGGGGCCGAGCAGGGTGTGACTTGGGGCTCTGTCCTCCTTCTGTCACACCCACTGCCTGCTTCCTCTGAGGGACTGAGAGTGGACACATGTCTCCAGAGAGCACCAGGAGGTCCTCAGGACCCTGTGATCACCCAGGAGAAAGCTGGGCCTTGGTTCCAGTGATCCTTAAATGCAACCCAAGCCGAGAAGCCCGGTCAGCTGCACTCTTCCGGTCTCAGGGCTGACTCAGGGCCAGACCTTCCTCCTGATGCCTAGCCAACTCCTCAGCATGTGACAGTGTGGGCTCTTTCAGTGATCGCTGGGAAGGCAGTCCCCGACCTTGGGTCCGGATGGGTGATCCTTGGTAATCCACTTGCCTTACTTTATTTTATTTTGTTGTTTTGTTTTTGTTTTTGCCTTCCTTTAAAACAGGAAGTCTGGCCCAAAATAAGGATTCTCAACCCTGTCCACACACTGGGTCCCCTGGGCAGCATTACAATACTGATGTCTGCCTCTGATATAATAGGTCTGAGTGCAGCCAGGGCTCTGGGTTATTAAAGTCTCCCCAGGGAGGGCCGTGGATTTAGCTCAGTGTGAAGCCACTTGCCTCACAAGCACAAGGTTGGCCGAGGTGGTCATGCAAGCAGCTTTTAGCCAGAGGAACAACTATCGCGTCCCCTAACTTCCCCTAGTATTCACTGAGGGCGAGGAGGTGAGAAAGTTTGGAAGGAAATTTGGTTTCTGCCATAGTGGGGGAGGGAGGGGTGAGCCTGCCTTAGGCATCCACAGAACTTGCTCTCTGCCTACAAACTCCTCCTCACAGTAGATCTCTGAAATGGACACTGACCCAGCTGCCGTCACTGTCCCCACTCTACAAATGAGGCCAACTGAGAGGATGGGGTAACGTCTACCTCATACCCACCAAATGAGCACAGCAGGGACAGCAGCTGTTAGGAGAAAGTGATACAGGATTTGCCTCAAGTCACATATTTTCTCAGAAACTCAGAAACAGAGTGGTGGACCCAGAGGCCCGGAGCCTGGCAGGGGCCGAGCAGGGTGTGACTTGGGGCTCTGTCCTCCTTCTGTCACACCCACTGCCTGCTTCCTCTGAGGGACTGAGAGTGGACACATGTCTCCAGAGAGCACCAGGAGGTCCTCAGGACCCTGTGATCACCCAGGAGAAAGCTGGGCCTTGGTTCCAGTGATCCTTAAATGC